TCTTTCCCTTGGCCTAGATGTCTGGGACTCTATCATTTTCCTCTGGTTAGCGGTGGTGCTCGGTGTGTTCGGAGAGTTCCCGACTCTACTGCCTAGTTATCTGGACAGGTCCTTTCATCTGGTTCCAGACGACAGCAAGGGAAGGCAGAGAAAGCCATTTTGAGTATTTAAGGCTGCAGGGTTGACTGGGCGTCACCAAGAGGAGCTAAATGTTGCAAAGTTAACCCGGATAAATGTCTGATAATGTCTTGGTGGTCTCTACGCCTTGGCTTTAGTATAAGGCCAATTTCGATGATTTCTGCATTTCCCTCCCCCTCTCACTCCGCGAACCCCCATCCTGTCTGGGTCCCCCCTTTGGTCTCTGCCTCCTCTGACCCTGTGGATTGAGTTGAGCTGTCTCCCTGCCTCTCAGTGCCAAATGGCATTACCTCGTTGATAGGAAATGACCTGGTTTCAGTTTTGGTCTTCTCCACAGTTGGGCATCTTGGTTCTTGGGTGATCACAGCATGTCTGTTCGTTGCCGTGATGAGAAGAGGATGAGTCATCCGGATTATTTACAGCGGTACTTTCCTGAACCGAACAGACTGCGACATTTCCCAAGTCTAGTGGTCAGTCGGCCACTCTGCATTTTAGCCGTCATCCTCTTTATTCTATACTCTGCTTCTGTTAGGGGTTCGGCAAAGGGTGGAGGGAAAAATAGTTGAAGGAGCAGGAAAAGAAGGAGTGTTGTGAAATGGAGTAACATCCTCACTGTAAGACCTATGTTAATGTTACAATTAATGAAACGGATATCATTTATTCAGTTTTATTTTTATGGCAGGTCTACTTTGAATGTCCAAGGCTTTTAAATAACTTTTAATTTTACTTTTAAAAGTCACCGTTTCTCTCTGATTCAGGGATTCCTGTTTGGTGACACATGAAAACAGAAGCCCAGAGGTATGAGAAATATCCAGCTTGATGTTAGGATAGCGTAGTGTCCTAACTTTACGTTTTATTTATTCCTTAGATGGGGTGGTGTCTGTTTCATTGGGGTTAGTGACAAAGAATTCGAAAATACAGTTCCGTCTCCAGTGAATTACTGTGGTCAGTTACATTTCCTTCTACTCCTTGGTTGCTATGGAGACTAAACGCATAGATGGGAAGGGATCCATCACAAATCCATCACAGGGTGCTGGAAAAGTGCTCAGAGCACCTTTCATAGCATAGGTCACTGGCATAAATCTTGGGGGTGAAGGCACGTTTTTATGTGTTTTGGTGGAGAGAGCATCCTGGCTTTCCATTTCTAGAGCACCACTGTCCAGCAGACACTTTCCAGACGATGACAGCCAGTGTTCTTCATGTCCACCGTCCAGTATGGTAGCAGCTGGCCACATGTGGCTACTGGGTGTTTGAAGTGTGGCTAGTGCCACTGAGGAACTGGATTTTATATTTCATTTACTATTGATTTAAATAGTCACATGTGGCTACTGGCAACTGTGTTGGACTCTTCTAGAGCATTTAAAAAAAGTCTATTTCTGTTTTATTTCACAAATGACAGCCAATCCTATAGTGAAGATCAATGCCATTATGTCAGCTAACAATGCCTCACATGAATTAGAGTGTTGTGGTTTTTTACTTTTTAGTAAGTCAGTGTCTGGGAGGGAAGAGCAGGAAGCTACCCTGGGCGGAGTCTGTGGAAATGGACATCATCTTTGGGGCGGTGACAAATAGCTTTTGTCCTTTTGCTCTGTTCCAACAAATTGCAATTGCTGTTCATCATGAAATTTCCGACATACTTTTAGCCAGGCTCCTTTTTCTTTACTATTCTGGTTCTAGTGCTACTTTCTGCATCTCCTTTTGATTCTGCATCAGTAGTATGCCTCCTTTTCATTATTTTATTTCATTTTATTTTTATTGGAGTATAATTGCTTTACAATGTTGTGTTAGTTTCTGCTGTACAATGAAGTGAATCAGCTATATGCATACTATATCCCCTCCCTCCCCCCTCCCCCCCCCATCCCACCCATCTGGGTCATCACAGAGCACAGAGCTGAGCTCTCTGTGCTTTATAGCAGGTTCCCACTAGCTAGCTGTTTCACACATGGTAGTGTATATATGTCAATCCTAATCTCCCAGTTTGTCCCACCCTCCCCTTCCCCTCGTGTCCACATGTCTGTTCTCTACATCTGCGTCTCTATTCCTGCCCTGGAAATAGGTTTACCCATCTGTACCATTTTTCTAGATTCCATATATATGCATTAATATATGATATTTGTTTTTCTGTTTCTGACTTACTTCACTCTGTATGACAGACTCTAGGTCCATCCACTTCTCTACAAGTGACC